ATAATTTTGACAAACGGCTCTAGGATCTAGTGAGTAATATTTTGGTAGATCTGTGAGTATAGTGAGTATATAATAATGGGAGGGGTGGTGGGGGGCATCATATAAGTGTAACTGCACCTACAGATCACAGTAGAGTGCACCTCGACAAGTAAAAGTGGAAAAAGCTTGAGACCATCAGCTTGAACAATGGTCTGTCTAAGCCACCTAGAGATGTTGGAATGAGAATCTTTCCTGGGTGCATCCAGGAAGACAAAAAGGGATCACTCTTTATGAAAGAAGCAGTGGCAGGGAGATACAGACATCCTGAACCCCATCCACAGCCAGAGGCACATACAGATAGTGGAGGGATATTTCCTTTTGATGAACTGGAGCCAGACAGAGGAACAGAAAACAATAACCTAATTGAAGTAAACAGCAGAAACTAACTTGGATATCAATGTCATGTTGCCCCTAGGCAAGACCAAAAAGGGACCTTCGCAAGATAAGGATGACAATTCAGGTACTGACATTGTAAAGTTGATGGCTACAAGGAAAACTGCCTTTGTTGGTAGGTGTAGGGAGAGAAATGTCTTCAGTAGGTTCAAATGGCATATTCTGATTGCAAAGAAAACCAGATTGAGATCCCATGGAGTCACTGGAAAACAATTGGAAGGAAGCCACATGGGAGACCTCCTGTACAGAGGCCTTAATTAAAGAGTAAAGGCCAACAGTCTCTGAAACACAATGTAATGGGCAGATACCTGACCCTTGATGGTGCTGAGAGCCAAAACATTGGTCCAAACCCAGCTGCAAGAAGTCTGGTTTGGGAACAATGAACAGGTTGGAGAAAAAACCCTGGAATCAATCTGCTAATGGGACTGGGGCTATGACACCTTGATCCAAGTGACCCTAGAAGATGCAATATCTGTGTGGAGACACAGGAAAGTTGGAAGTGAGGACATGAGAAGAGGGCAGGAAATGTTTTTATCCCTGGTACACCACCTCCTGCTACCAAGCATCTAGACTTCAAGCTATCCAAGAGTCCTTAAAGTTTGACAGATGTCACTCCATTCTGGAACATGGGGATCCACCTTCATGTAAAGGATACTTGTCTGAGGATTTGGCAGACTGTAAATGCCAGGCTTTGTGGGTGGGTTGGGAGCCAAACTTAGGACTTTCAACACTGCAGTCAAGGAAGTGGAGAAACAAAAAGGCACATTTCTTGACAGCTAGAGCTTCTTAAGCTTCTTCTACTGGGGTAGATGGGTGCTCTTGTCACCAGCAGCATCTATGATAATGTTATCAAGAGCAGGTCTGAGGAGACATTATGCCTCAAAGACCATATAGATCAAACTCTTCTTGCACAAATATTCCACAGTCCAGCACTTTAGAAAAAAGGGCCCTATGCCTATGCTCTGAAATGAGACACATGCAAGAGATGATACAGAAGGCTGCCAGCAAACTGTCAGTGCTAAAATGTAATGCTACACCTATCTGCTAAATGCGTTAAGAAAACAAGGGATCAATCACAGCAGTGGTTTTATCTCTTTTAAAAGGATTTGACCTATTAGACATAGTCTAACAAAATAAAATGACAGCCAGGACTGTGACTTAATTTTGCTCCTGTTGTGACTTGTGGGTGTAGGACCCACCAGAGAGAACAAATGGTTTTCAATCACTTTTTGAGTCAGAGCACCTTAAAGACAGGCATATCCTACACTGATAAGAGTGCTGAAACACTCCACTTAATTTAGGTCTATAGCAAACAACTGCCACTCCTCAGGGGGTAAGCTTATCAGTCACAGACTTTAGAGACTCTGAACAATGACTCAGAAGCCACCAAGGCCACAGGTAAATTAGTACACAATCTGCTGGAGAAGGAGCAATCAGTTAGCAAATAACTAGGTAATTCATAAAATTAATGTCTTGAATATCCGTAGTAAAATTTTTAGCCAAAAGGGCTGTGGATCCAGACACACCAGAAGAAGCCAATGAGGATTGCAAGAACAACATAGACTAACAGCAGATGACAGTATAACTCCAGGCTGCAAATGCTGGCACCATCATTAGGCGCACTGCAAGCAGCCTTGGAACCATTAATAGAGTGTAAGCTGGGGGGCATCTGATACAGTTAGGATATGCTTCAGCCATGGTGTTATAAGGTAACATACATGCTCAGGGTGAGGCCGACCATAGACAAGTTGAAAACCAAATGTTCTGTCCATCACGAGCAAGAATTTTCATTCAGTTTTCAAGTCCTAAATGACTTGCTTAAGAGTCAAGGCCTCAAGTACTCTTGAAACCCACACAGTTGGTGGCAGATGAGGGTCAGAAGACTGTAGGCAGGCAGCGGTAACAGATAAAAGATCAAGGTTCCACATGGTCCTTTGCAAGCAGGATAAGCAATAGGGAGATGCTTCCTCAATGCTGTATGGTGGAATGGCAACACTCCACCCAGTTGATGATGTCAGAGCACCATCCCAAGGCAATAACACCCTCTACAGCAAAAGTTAGTTGGAATGAGGAATAAAGGCAACCAGCATCCAATGAAAATGAGGTAGCTCCCAGTGCTTAGCTCGACCAGCCTACTCCGTAAAAGTTGCTCTTGACCTGGAATGCACTCCACAGCTAACTTTTAGCAGAAGTAAATCTGGAAGACATCCTCTGTTGAACCCAGGAACCAAAGGTCCCAGGCCATCCACGCAACACCCAGGCCAGCAAGTCTAGATGTAGTCCTCCAAAAACTAGGCTGAAGGTGTCCACGCCAGATAGCTGCTGATCAGAGGGAAACACTCCAGCAGCAGTGTAGATGGAAGAAAAATTTGAAAAGAAAAAATTACATTCATCCTCCTAAAACACCAGCAAAAAACTCAGGTTGGTAGCAGGAGGAGTTGGCCTGGGCTGGCCTACTTTTTTTTTTTTTTATTTACCAATGTCCAATCTTCCTATAGGTGGCAGTATAACCTGAAGGTTAAAAGACTGTGTCCCTCAATGTACAAGAAAGAAATATACATATTTACCTACTTCTCTTATATAGTATTCCTGAATTGTTTTACAAAAGATGTGTTTGATATCTGCTGGATATTTGCTTTACAAAAGTGTTTGTTGCCTTTTTTTCCCGAAGCAAATAAATCTCTGGGAGACTTTCCCTGCCAATACTAGATGAGGTGTTTGTGAGAGAATCAGACATGTTGGTGGTCTGTTGCCCTAACAAAATTGGCAGTGCAAGACAGAACAGTGAGAAAAACTAACAGCAAGCTGTAAATTTCTTTTCATTTACAGTATTATTAGTTTATCGTCAAGTAGCACTACCATTCAGCATGCGGGCATTGAAGGTACATAGGCCTATAGAAGAGAAAAAAAAAAAACTAGATTCAATACCACATCCTTTTTGCAGAACGCTTCACTTGGTTCTCATTTAAAAAGAAAAAAGTATGCCATAGTAAAAGTGTGGAAATAGCTTTATAGAAACAATATAGTTTTTCAATAAAAAATTGCCATATGTAGTAGGCCAGTTTTTTTTCTTTAGCAAAACTTAGAGTTTTGGACTTTTAAGATTTGATTTACATATAACTCAGTGTGCAATCTGATACCAAAGGTTATTTAAACGATTAAAACTCTGTGCTTCCACTGTATAAAAAATACTACAAGCATCAAAAACTGACCCAAATCTTTTTCTAGCTAGCGAGCCATTAGACTTCTGTCTGCCTTCATTCTATTTGCTAACTGTCTTTGTATTCCATTTAATGTGCTTCCAGAACTTCCCGCTCGTCTCTTTCTAGCTGCACATAGCATCCTGTGGATTACAATCTGACCTCATCAGATTAATCTGTTCACTTCATGTGTTGCTTCTGCTGCTTAGCAGCAGGTGTAATTGATTATCTATTAAACTTCTTTTTAGTTTATATTATTTGTACTACTAAATTATCAACTACAAAATAACTCACGCTATAAGTAGTGATGTCTATTGGGTATTATTTAAAATAAAAAGACCAAAAAGTGCTGGTGCTGTTAAACTCAACCTATTCTTTGGGTTACTCATCATGTTGTGCTTAGCTACCAAGTAATCCTAAACCTAATCCTAGACAACATGAAGGAATCTAAACTAAATAGTGGCAAATGCTGATCAACTCCATATGATGTGTTTGGTTGGTGATTTATCCTCCGTACTTCTGGATAGCATAAGGGAATCATAAGAAATTTCTGTGATTCACATGCTAACTGGTGTCTAATCCTAAACAAGTATAAAACTTTGCCTGCAAAGTACAAAACTTACAAAGGCCTTGTGAAGGATATCCTTAAAGTGACCAAAAAAGAAATGGATACATATTCCTCTAGATACAGGAGTATCTAGAATATACAAAAAGGTATTACATCATTTATGATAAGGGTATATCCAATGAACCTTCCAAAGTCAAAACTGACAAAACTTTAAAGGCTTTTGAGGGCAACGGTATCTGTATATAGAAATACAGTGCCACCTGCTGAGCATTCCTTGATAATTACAGCTGAACAGAAAGTGATTGAGTTCATCTACTAAAGGAGTATACATTTATGCAGCCCCGTGAATATGCATTCACTTCAAATATGCAGTTATGTGAAGGGGAATTGAAGAGCATAGGAATTTCCCTTGCATGTAATTAGATGGTTTCAGGGCTCAGTGAGAACATTCTACTCCTTTTGCACATCAACTCCAATGTGCTGTAAAACCAGGTGTCCATTTTTATTTCTTACCAAAAATTTCCCAAATATTAATGCCCCTAAGAAAAACATTCAATGCTTGCAGTAAAGTAAAAGGTAACACTCATCCATTACATTGCACACAACCAACTTATATTTTCCTGCGGTAGAAATTTCCAGTTAAACACATAATAAAGCATCTTTTTTTTCTCTATAAATAAACTATAAATATTTTAGTTTTCATCTGAAGTTTTGGCAGTCTGACATTATTTTGTTTTTCTTTACTTTAGCTGGTATGAACGGTCTATGGCTTTCTATAGGCCTAAGCCCCCACTTAAATCTTAGCAAGGTAATCTATGATAGAAGTATAGATAGCCCAAGTCTTTAGGTGGTCTCTCAGATGATGTAACCTTATGGTCGTTGTAAATAACCCATCTGAAAAACAAAAGGCAGAAAATTAACATTTTTAAATGCATTGAAGCGTTTGTGCAGTATATCCAAAACTTTTTTGTAACCATTTGCCCTCCTAAGGATTTACCCCCCTTTCTGACCAGGCCATTTTAGGCGTTACGGCACTGCGTTATTTTATCTGACAATCGCACGGTCATGCAACACTGCACCCAAATGAAATTTAAGTCCTTTTTTTCCCACAAATTGAGCTTTCTTTCGGTGGTATTTGATCACCTGTGTGTTTTTTATTTTTTGTGTTATAAGCAAAAAAAGACCAACAATTTTGAGAAAAAAAATATTTTGGACTTTTTGCTATTAAACATCTCCCAGTAAATCCAATTTCATCATAAATTTAGGCCAAAATGTATTCTGCTACATGTGTTTGCTAATAAAAATCCCAATATGTGTAAATTAATTGTTTTTTTTTTTTTGTCTACTGGTAATGCCAGCGATCAGTGACTTTTAGCGGGACTGCAGCGGACATTCTGACACTGGGGGGGAACCAACTTGGTGTTACTGACATCCCCAGTGACACCAATACAGTGATCAGTGCTTAAAAAAAAAAAAAAAAAGCACTGACACGGTACTAATGGCACTAGGCAGGAAGGGGTTAATGTGAGGGGAGATCAAAGGGTTAACTATGTGCGTGTTTTACTAGGGGGCGGGGGGTGCACAGCCATCCTGAGCAGTGTGCTCGAGCTGACAGGGAGAAAGACTGTAACAAAATAGTCTTCCTCCCGTCAGTGATTGTCGGTAATCACTGGGCGCCAGCGGGTAATTACCGGCCAGGACCTGGTGATTGACATCTGCGGCTGCGAATGGCGGCGCGCGCCCCCTACCCAGAAATGCGAAACCACGTGTATATATACATGATTTTGCGCACAGGTGCTGCCCTGTAGCAGTATTTCTGCTAAAGGGCGGTCCTTAAGCAGCTAATTTTGAAAAAAGTAGGAAAGGATTAATACCCCTGCAATTTTATTTTTCTGTTTATGTACCACTGATTAACATTTCCATTTACTTTTTGTCTTATTGATGCAACAGGAAATTAAGGGAAAGCACTCTAAGTGAAAGAAATTCCTCTTTCAGATACTTGTCCCAGGAACAGGTGTCCCCACTGATAAAGGATAAGTGTAAAAAAATTAAACAGCTGCGCCTACCTATCACCAACTTCCAAATCTCCAAAAAATATGCACCTACTCCCAACAAGTGTTAAATAAAATAGAACTGCAATGTATAAAAATATGAAAAGTGAAACAACTAAAAACACATTCAATTCAAAGTGGGCAGTACAGTGGCTAAATGGTTAGCACTTCCGCCTGGCAGTACTAGGGTCGTTGGTTCGAATCCCAGCCACGGCACCAGCTGCCTGGAGTTTGCATGTTCTCCCTGTGGGTTTCCTCCGGGTACTCTGGTTTCCTCCCACACTCCAAAGACATGCTGGTAGGTTAATTGGATCCTGTCTAAATTGTCCCTAGTATGTGTATAAATGTAAGTTAGGGACTTTAGACTGTACACCCCTTGAGGGTTAGGGACTGATGTGAATGTACAACATATATGTAAAGCGCTGCGTAAATTGACAGCGCTATATAAGTACCTGTAATAAATAAAATAAATAAAGTATAAATCAAAGTGAATGTCCCTTTAAATGATCTCATTCTCTTTATATAGTGCAGTGATCAAAGTGCAAATCATATGTGAAATAATTTCTCTTTCTTCACATCCAGTTTTTTTCTCTTTTGATATTCCACCTCTTGTTTTATTTTGGCATTCCAATATAGTGATTCCCGCCACCATTCAATTATGCGCTCACCTCCAATGGACCTGCCATGTGCAAGGTCATAAAACGCTTTCCCCCTGGGGTTAATCACTAGTATCATTCAGGTTCCAATATCACTGGATTCTCCACACTTCATTCCACTTTTAAATGGTATATGACATTTCCATAAAACAAAGTGTATGGCACTTTAAAAGATCGCCGACGTTTCCTACAATGGGCTCATATAAAAAGGAGGCTCCCACGTCACTTCCGGTTTAAACAGCAATCAGTCATCCAACTCCACCTTAACTGTTGTGGAGTGGAGCGTGAAGAATCCAGTGATATCGGAACCTGAATGATACTAGTGATTAACCCAAGGGAGGGAAAGCTTTTTTGATCTTGCACATGGCAGGTCCATCCCTTGAGATGAGTGCATAAGTGGGAATCACTATATTGGAATGCCAATATAGCACAAGATGTGGCATATCAAATGAGAAAAAACTGGATGTGAAGAAAAATTATTTCACATTTGCACTTCAATCACTGCACTATATAAAGAGACTGAGATAATTTAATGGAACATTCACTTGATTTATACTTTGAATGTATATTTGGTCGTTTCACTTTTCATATCTTTATACATTGCAGTTCTATTTCATTTATTTTATTTCATACTTGTTGGGGGTAGATGCGTATTTTTTGGAGACTGGAAATTGGTGATAGGTAGGCACAGCAGTTTCATTTTTTTTACACTTGTTTCACAAATAGTGGGTGGTCTATATACTGATTGCAGCCACCAATTTTTTCATTAACACATATATATATGTTTTTGAGGTGACACATGTTGGTTTTTGGATTGTTTTTTTATTTAGCTGGTAGCGCGGGAATTATATTTTATATATAACTTTAAAGAATAGGTTCACCTTTGGAGCATGTTACTGTACATTTTAAAAATTAATCACAAAAAATGGGACTTTAAAAAGGTGTCTGATAATTAGGGTTGCACTGATACCACTTTTTTAACCAGCAAGTACGAGTACCAATACACTCAGTCAAGTACTTGTTTATGCCGAGTACTGATACTTTTGCAGTGCGATTTGAGCCTTTACAAAATTAATGGGCTCAAAATGCACTGCAAAGAATCACATGAGATTTGAACAGGACTATGGTGCGATTCCTGTCCGAATCGCATGCAATTTCCCCAACTGCTCCTGTGCGATCTGAGCCCATTCATTTTGTATGGGCTCAAATCGCACCACAAAAGGTATCAGGTTTGGGTATCAAAAGCATTTGCACGAGTACTTGTGCAACTATGCAGTATCAGCACCGGTACTGGTATCAGTGCAATCCCACTGATAATGCAATGCATATGCACTGCTGTTAAAATTACATCAGTTTATTCAATTCATATAAAAACATTCAAAATGTAACAAAACGTTGCCCAACACGGCTTCTTTTTTGTGTACAGACATATAATACTTACATTTTAACAAAATTTGTTTCACAGCTCATCAGTGCTTTTCCCACCCTACTATATACCACTTGCAGTGCAGGCACCATCAACTGTGACATCAAGCAGCCACAGCTCATGGAACCCCTAATAACCTCCACAGGAACTTTTCGCTTCGTATACGCAAAGAGAATATCGGATGATCATGATCGTCTTTTTTTTTTGCATGCTAGTTTCATAACGGAAATGAAGAGGTTACTAAAGTTATCAAAATTCTCGTATGACAGAATACAACTTCGGAGGTGATGCAATGTCACAAGGTCCTAAAAAGGCTCCTCTACACTTTAGAAGTCCTTTTATTGTCATACATACCGTCCCTCTTTTTTGATGTGACAAACATAGTGCCCAGACATGGTAGATGTTCCCACATGGCTGATGAATGCAAAAAGTTCATATCCTAAAAAGCATATGGTTGGTTAGCAGATATAAAAATGTACATATTTTATAAAAAGAAATATATTTAAGTTAGGTGGTTTACACTAACAGGCACCTCTATACAAAGAGTATAATGTATTCAAGTCAATCTCTGCTCCATAATTGTTTTTATTTTCCATATCCACAATGTTCCTTAAACCCCTATGGAGAGTAAATTCTCTATGTCTACAAAAGTGTTCAAGGGTGGAAGTAGCAGAGGCACTGCTCACTTTCAGTTCTGTGAGAACACAAGCACTGATATTGATCATAGCGTGAACCTTTGTATTCCCCAAGCATATATAAAAGTGGTACCTTCATGTACTCCATTAACTATTTCAAACATATTTCTTCTCTTCCCAAAACATGTAACCTAATCAGGCTACAAAGCAAGGTTACCAAAGTGCAAATTGACCTTTTGACAAAAATCGACATCTATGCCCTGATAAGAAACCACTAACCCTGGCAAATAAAATGGTTTTTACAGGAAAGGCTGAGATGTCTCTTATATACAGTATACATTCTGACTTGTAGATTGATGTTCTCTATGCTGTGAGAGAGGCAAGATGGCTGTACTCAATAGGGAAATAACTAGGTCTCCAAGAACAGACTGGAGCAGGGTTTATTATTTGGTATGTAGTGAGTTGATTAACCCCTTCTGGTTGGCTCTTTAAATGGTCTGTCATGCCCAGGGCTGATAGGAGGGGATCCTGATCCTGCAGGCACTGTAACTGGCTCTACAGTGCTGATGTCATTGGAAGCTAACAATCGTCTATACTTGACAGTGAGCTTTCATGACAGCTTGGTCACAGTTCTGGAGGTGCCAACGGAGCATGCCCCAGAAAAAGACAGTGATGAATTTATGTAGTGGCTTGGTGTTCAGGCCCACCCACCCTGCTGCTGCATATATGCAGATAACTGTCATAAAGGGGTTTCTTGCTTAGTAGCTGAATAGCTTGTATTTGGCATGGTCTTCTGTAAACATTGTCAAAGGAAAGGTTGTCCAGATTACTCCCACAAGTCAAAAACACATGGGTAGGTTAACTGGCTTCCTTGTATGCGTAGTAGAGATTAGACAGCAAGCTCTCTAATATAATACTATGAAATATGAAAAGTAACTGAGTCCCAAATGATTACTAGGAGCAGCTAAAGGGATGAACACATGCCCGGTTTCTGACGTTGCTAGAAACTAGCTGCCGTGGCCAAATTCTAGTCCTTTTACCTTTGTTCTGGTTTTTAAAGCCTGTCCCTGACTGACCACACCACAACATGAATTCTTATCAGAAAGCTAGTTAGGTCAAATCAATAATTAGTGCAAATCTGCCAGTAGTTTGACATCTGTGTTTTGTACTCTATCTGCATCACGTAAAAAAAAAAAAAAAAAACTGTCAGTGAGGAGGGTGTTGGATCATGATGATATTTTCTGCAGAACTCTGGAAGGGGTAAACTACATTACTGTATAATTGTAAGTAAACATTAGAAAGTAATCTAATAAGAAAGTGATGATTTATGTAAGACATGTACCACGACTGGGCCTAAGCCACAGCTGCTTTCATCACACTGACTTGCAGTATGTCCTAGCAGCAGGAAGTCCAAATACAGCAGGCACAGATTCCCAGAACGGTTTCAGCAGTCTTTATAAGTAATGTGATTAATAATGATATTGGACAGCTCCTGCAGAGAAATCCAAATGTTTGATGTTGTATATTGGAAGATAAAACTATTTTGAACACCTGAGGCTCTATGGCCATATTTGAGGTAGTTCACTCAATTTATAGGGAGGTGGGCCAATGTCAATATAAACTAAACAGACTTCCACTTACTTCCAGTACTGTCAGGAGCAGCATTAAAGAGAATGTAGTTACAAATCTTCAATAATATTTTTTATTTCTCATGTAATAAAAATGAGCAGAAATATACAAGACCATTCCTTTAAGCTCCAAGGCCAAGGTTCTATTGAAAATTGAGAGGTATGGAGTCATTTATGGAACATGCAATCGCCCGCTTAACACTTTTTAGATCTTATCAATGCAAAATACTGTATAAAAAAAAAAAAAAAATCAACAACTGGGACTATTACTTACTTCCATTTCCATCTTTAATTCGAGGACCTTCATCGTTGTTGGTGAGAATTCCACTTTGATTATTCTCAGAAACTACAGATTGTGAAGTATTTGCACCTTCTTCTTCAATTTCAGGGTGGGAGAAAATCCAATCCAGAGCTCGCTCAAGATTATTATTCTGCAAATGAGGATGTATTATTATACTATAATTATGACAAATCATGGGCAGAAAAAAATACCACTGTTAGAGGCATCTGGCATTCTTTTTTTTTTTTTTTTTTTTACACCTCTGAAAGCAGCTCTAGTTTTCTACTGTCTTTCACTGGTGTATTTTAGAGCAGCGTTTAGGGGCGTAGAATGTAACGGCCCAAACCTGTGGTTTTTTGCATAATTTACACCTGTACATGTGTAAAGGCAACTAAATACGAATATGCGCTTAAATTTATTCTAGCGGCTACCCAACAGAATTAGTTTACACTCATACGCATCTAAATGCAATACTTGCATGAAAACACAACATTAGAAGCATTTTCTTCTGCCAATTTCTGGCAATATATTTGCAGCATTTATTCATTCACCCATGTGCATGTAGCTTTAAAATGAAACTAAAGGGAAACGTAATAGTGCCATTTCAAAGATGCCTCCTACTGCCCATAATTACATTTTATTTTTTTTCCACCAGAGAAAAGTAAACTACGTAATGCAACACTGGCTGCTCAGAGTGGACAATCAGAAGCCCATGCATTGTCAATACCAGGTACTTTCATGTATAGCGAAGTGGGAGCACACAACCCTACCCTTCCTCCCATGATTCAAAGAATGGCCAATCACAAACCCTGTCAGACAGCACAGCTAGGTTAATGACCTGACCTTTTTTACTCTTTGGTTATGTAAAACAGCTTGGACATCTCCGTAACCACAGCCAGCGACTAGACAATGTAGGTGCAGCAGCATCTAGAGTTCAACTTTATGCACTGTCGGCACTTCTTGGCACTATACGTACATGCCCCATGTGCTGCTGCAGGCTCTTGTTCACTATAATGACAGGATGCCAGTAGCCGCAGGTATTCACGGCTCTTTGCACAGCCAGCATTACCTGCGGTGATCACTGCTGGATGCACACAAAGTGCGTCCAACTGTGATCACTTCAGGTAATTGTTGGCTGTGCAAAGAGTCGTGAATACCTGCGGCTGCCAGTGGCTGCACCTAGTCGTTCAGAGCAGCAACACGAAACAGCAGATTCCTGCCACTACAATTCACACTGGCCTAAATTGCTGGTGTGAATGTAACTTTAGAGGATTACTGTAGCTACTATTTAAAATCAGGTCTTTACCAGTATTTGGAGTCCAGCGGTTCTCCTTACTGCTGCCGGTTCCCAGTGCTGCCATGTTGGACATAGGAGCCAGTTGTGACTTTCTGAAAAACCACAGCTAGCAACTTCACCTGGCACTTTGTGAATGGTCCTGCACCCTCTTGGGACATGTCACATGTCCCAGGAGGCTGCACAAGGGGAGAGGTAAGTGCAAATAGCATCATCTGCACCTCAGCGAGGATTTCAGTTAGGAAAAATCATTAACCCTCCCCAAAAAAAAAAAAACTGACACCCAGTTACAGGTTGAAAGGAGGGAATGAATGAAGTACTATGGCAATGGCAGATCTAAGTAAAGGCTAAGATGGCACCTTAACATTGAATAGGAGGGTTTCATTTAGCTTAACTGAAATAGAATATTCTTTCTCCTAAACATGGCCATGGTATTAATACAAACTCTGAAGTTTATATTGTAGTGGAAAGAGTTAGGATTTTGTTTATCATCTAGTTGTTTTTCACAGTAATAAGAAAATATTCTGTTTAGATTCATATGAACTTACTGTTGCCCTTAGTGCCTGAATTGCCTGATTTCTCTGGAAACCCATTGAGGAGATCAAGGCAACAATCTCTTCTGGAGGCTGGTTAACCAGAGCAGTCTCTCCATATGATGGCAGTGTAGATGAAGTAGCAGGACAGCCAGGAATAGTTAACGGTTCTGCAAAATCTAGTATAAAATGAAAAGGAATTGGAAAACTGTACAAGCACAGAAGATCGATAGTAGTTAATGATGTTTATGACATCAGAGATCAAACAACATTTTTAGGTTTTAGTAGAAAACTCAAACTGACCAGTAAACAAAAGTGCAGCGCTCACAATGCAGTGAATATACTGACCGGGGTCTTCCATGTGTGCGATAATCCAGTTGAACGCCAATTCTGCCCCCATGCTTCCAGTGTAATACACAGCCTTCCGACATGCCTCCAGAGGGAAGCCCATCTCTGCTAGCTGCATCACTGAAGACTCATCTATGTCAGGAGCTGCATGGAGGTGTCAGAAAGACCATTTAGTATCTGTTTCTAGACTGGGTTTTCAATAAATGGACTTAATTTTTTTAAAATATGGATTCAAGAAAAAGGAGCCTTTACATAAACAGTTGATAGATGTGATGAAAAGGCAACAAGATCGTATAAAGTCACTATTGTAAAGGAGAGCAGTAAAATCAACTACATAAATAGAAAATATTATCTATATTAAGCACAAGCCTTAAAAAACTGACTGTAACACTTCTTCTTATGCAAGCTTTAAAACTGAACTCCACGAATATATGCACATAAAATACTCAGTATTGGCCAGCTTAGTTAAATCCAGTGCTCCACATGCCAGAGGGGCAATGCAGACATACTAGTTCCCCATCAGGTCTGCTCCCCTTGTAACTGACAACAGGCAGATACTTAGCCAATTGACAACATGGTAATAGCTAAAAAATCTTCCAACTGCCTGCTGTCAATCACAAGGAGAAAGCAGACGTGATGGGGAACTAGTGTCTCAGGTTTGGTGCAGTAAAAGTGCCCTTTGTAAAAATGGCAATATTAATCACTTTGTCAATCTGCAGCACGTCAATAAAGCTACTGAAACAAGTTACATAGCTTTTTGAATGTGGCACAGGCCATTTTGAAGGACCAGAGCACCAGAAAAAAGTGTCAGTAGGGATTTATTGAATCTCCCTGTGGAGGTGATTTCTCTATATATTGTCCCAATAATGGCTGATCTATCCAATTATCCTTATTGGTATACTTATGTCCAACGATTCTTTCCTTTACTTGCTGGATGGTTTCCATAAAATAAAGAAGCCCACACTGACATTTAACCAGAGAAATGTTATAACTAAGACATTTGTAGTCATTTGTAATTTTAATAGAATATGGATGCATGAGTAAACATTTCACTTTTATTCATATTAAAAAAATGTATAATAGAAAGTAAAAAAAAACTACCGTTCCTTCTGGGTTCTAAAAGTCCTGGTCAACTGATCAACCAATTTTATGGATTCAGCATGAACCACTTGATTGTAAAAGGTTCTACCATGCCTAAATGGATGTACAGGGGGACTTTAAAATTCAGTAACCAGGGGACAGTTTCTACCCTTTTTGTGCCAATGTTCTTTAATACATGCAAAAATTTTGTTTGAAAAAGCATGTACAAAAAGTGTATTATACACTGAAATACACGGTTATTGAGTCAGTACTTGTATTAAAACAAGGAGGCGGCAGGGACTTATAGCTTATATAGAGAAAAAAAAAAGGGGGGGGGGTTCTGGATTCTAAAATTTGGGACCTTACATCTACTGGAAATAAACCAAGATTTTGACTTAAACAACATACTTGTTTTAATGTTTTTTTTCTTTAGTTATAATTATATGATATTTTTATTTCAAGTATAATTAGTGCACATTTTTCTACATTTGTTTGTCCTTGAGTGTTTGAGAAGCGCAGTGGCCACTAACCTCACTCATTAAGAAATACGGTTTGTCCTCACTTGTTACTACTTTGTAATCAGTGAGAAGTTTAATATCTGTATGATGTTACTAATTTCATTCATGTTACGATTTATGTGATATGCTATTGAGATGTATTCAGACCTGTTATTTGGCCTGACAAAGGGCTTGTTGTATGAAACCGCAGCCAGTTTGAATAAGTTCTTTGCAACTTAAACTATCAATCAGTGCCGCCTCTACATATTAAAGGCCACTTTTACGTGAGGCAGACTCCAATTTGATCTACAGGGGAACTGTACACTGAACCCCTGTTGATCCGAGTGGAGCAGATGGATAACAGGTCCATATCTGCTCAGCTTCTGCAGAGCAGACATGGACTGAGCCCTCTCTGCTCTATGGAAGACGACTGTAAACGGACTCCCTGTCTGTTTACTCCCAACTACCCTCCAATCCGCCTAGGCTGAGGGGGATGGATCCCCTTCCATTTATTTTTTAGCAAACTGGGTCAGACTGGGCGTAGGCGGTAGTAAACAGACACAGGTCCGTGTACACCTGCTGGTCCAAAGGGGTGAATGAAGGGTCCGATCAGCTCCAACTGAAAAGCTGACCGGTGGACCAGATCAGACCCTGTGTGTAAAAGGAGCCTAAGCCACTGGGTGAGGCTCTGGTTTGCTGCCACTAATATAAAAACTGAAGGTGCTTTTGAGCTTTTATCAATGTATATTGTGACAGATTAGTACTTTGTCACTGTGCAAAGAAGCAGATTAAGCATTTGCGGCAAGTGTGTTCTTAAAGACTTTTCCCTGGCTGGATGAGATTTCACCATCTGGGCAAGTCCCACATGTTTCCAAACAGAATCTGCCAGTTTTGGAGTCTGCCATGGACTGGTGTAAACGTCATTTGGCATCAGTGACTGATGAACAGAGTGGAAAGTCAACTCTTAGTGCCATGGAAGAGCCAATGGCTGTCCAGAAGCAAGATGGACAGTGCTGTTGCCCATAGCTATACTGGTGAGATTAAACCAGCTGACTTTATGCTGCAGATTTTGCCAACTGAGCATGCAAAAGTCTTTCTAACTCTCTCATTGAAAGGATTGCTCTGCCAGAAGCAGGACCCAAGAAACACTGGTCAAAGATGCTATGGCCCCTGCCGATGGAAAAGTATCAGGTGGTCTACTGCGTGATGGGCAAAGTCACAACAGCAATGACAAGATTAAAAGCAATATCCTTGGAACGGAGATACATCACGACTATGAGACCCAGCAAGCCTTAGCCTTAGGTGAGTGTTTTCCTCACAAAAGGGCAATCCATTTTGCCCTTCAATGCTCCTCCCACCCTAGAAGATAGCTGTGCTGTGAGGGAGCAACGCATGTGTGCAGACACTGGAAGAGTATCTGTTCTGTCCTGCACTAACCAGGCGGACATCTGAGTGAGATTAACTACTGCAGGAGCAGCATATGTGGACATAAGGATCTGATGTCAAGGTCTATTTGACCAGCTCGTTGTCTTAAGATAAGTAAATGGGGCACTGTCTTTCTGAGAGAGACAGTGCTCCAAATAGGCATAAAGCTTGTATTGCCCAAGATGAGCAACTTCATAGAAGGCTGAACTGTTATGCCATTCAGTGTCATAGTGAGAACCCTGGCAAGGTCAACCCTTCTGTAAAAGAACTTATTTTGTTGAGGGATAAAAAAAAAAGTGGGTGGAAAGCCCTAACAAAATCTTTGAAGCTTTACATTTGAAAGTAGAGTCCCACTATATGTGCGTACGTGCGCACACACACACGCGCGCGCGCATTCAGCCCACAAAAGTATAAAAGACTACCCTCTTCTAATATCAGCATGATGTTGCACGTGTGGCAGCATATTGGCCTGGCAGGTTTAAATTTGCATAACTTTCACTGATAGAAGTTTGCCATTTAGAGTTAGGTCTTGAGTAAAAAAAAATAGGCTAAAGGTTACATTTTGGTTGAGGTTTATGGTTGTTTGTTAGATAAAGCCTAAAGGGTTAAGGATTAGGTATCAGAGTTAGGTTAAAGAATATGAGTTAAAGTGATTGTAAATCCTCACCTTGTAAAACAACCCATTCAGTTTAAAATATAAATGAAAGGCAAAACATTTGTGTATGGATATTAAGAAAAAAAACCAAATACCTTTTTCCCCTTTTTTATAAGTGATGACATTCCCTCTGTTCTCCACTGCATGAGAGCTAAGGGAGGAGAAATGGCAGTACACTAAACTTCCTCTCAGAACGGTATTGCTCGTTATAGCACACGTGCACAAATGGCCTGCACAGCGCACTCTACACTAGTTGAAGCGCTAGGCAAGGTCATTGAAGAATGAACCAGATTCCTACAATACCGCTGTTGGTGAAGGTATGGCGGAAAACATGCTCCCTGTTAGGTATATAGGGTTTACAGAATATACCCCTATATGGGATAACAAAAATTTACCAGAGCTTAGGGAGTTAGAGAATTCTAATAACTGGAAGCAGAAGGGAGCTGTGAGACTCTCACAATTATATTTGTCTAGGACACTGAAAACCTTCCAATAGCTGAGAGAGGAGTTTGGGCTTACAAATAAGCTATTTTCCCAATATTTACAGATGAGGCATGCATTGGCAGCCAAATTTCAAAACAGTAGAGTTGGAATGATGTAATACCCCCCTTTTAAAAATCCTGGTAAAAGCTACTTCCACTAAAGGGTTGATATCAAAGTTGAATGCCAATATTCACTTAGTGGCACTAGAATAGGACCTGGACCTCCCAAGTAGAGAAAGATGGGCAGAGTATGTGGGGGAGCTGACTGATGCACAGTGGAAGCATATATTAAAAACAATAGACCTAATATCTCTGTCCCCATCACATAAATTAGCACAGATTTATATAATCCACAGGACATATTATACACCAGGAAAATTGTTGCATCCGATCCCATGTTTGGGGAACCCACCTGCAATTCTCATTCATATGTTTTGTAGGTGTCCTAAACTACATAGATATTGGGAGGAGGTGGTCAACACAATAGAGTTGGTATTCAGTGTAACGCTTGTAGTGGAACCTTAATTATGTGTGTTGGGATATATGGATTACCAAGATGCCTCGTCCGCAACACAGACGGCAGTGTTGCGGTGTCTTTGTCTGGCCAGAAATTCGATTGCCCATAAGTGGATTAATCCCTTAAAATTTTTTCATGTGGACTGGTTAAGAAGGGTTAACAATCTGTTAATAAGAGAAAGACTTGTCTATGTGAGAAGGGGGTGTGAGGGCAAATTTGAAAGTGCATGGAAACAGTGGATGGAGGCCCAGGGATTGGTTGTAAAGTATGGGAATACTGCAGAATGAGAAAAGCAATCAATACCCTCCTGAGAGGAAGATTAGTGTACCGCTGTTTCTCCTCCTTCAGCTCTTATGCAGTGGAGAACAGAGGGAATGTGATCACTTATAAAAAAATAATGTTTTTTTTTTTTCTTACTATCTATACACAAATTTTTGCCTTGCATCTTTATTTTAAACTATATAGGCTGTTTTACAAGGTGAGGGTTCACATATAATTTAAATCAGCTAAACAAATTACAGGGTCATCTAAAAAATATGCAGGTATGCCTACAGTTTGTTTTCTTTGGAGAGCAGCAACGGCCTGGGTAGAATAGCCTGACCCCTCCCAGCATGCTGCAGAGAAGAACCTTTGCAAAAGTGAAACACTGATCTCCTCTGCAGAGCTCTGAAATGCCCCCAAGTCATGCCAATAGTTCTGCAAGAAAAGCTTACACTCCCTTCGTTAGGCTTTAAATGGAAAACTGAAAAAAAACAGGCCAACTATTACAGGCAAAACAAATACAGATACAAGAGAACCATTGCTACTGCTGCTAATTCACTTGGAGCCATCATCTGAGAAAAAAAAAGTTGTTTTTATGTAGACGGTAATATTTTATGCTTACAATAACTCCAGTAGCTACATAAACAATTTTTACCAATGACATTAAAATAATCATACAAGTCCATCCAAAAGAGTAGAATCTAATGTAAATGTTCTCTAAAAATATAAATGGAGTGAAGCAGCTCAACAACCTTGTAGGGTGTTCAAAAAAAAAAAAAAAAAGAGAAAAAGTGGTTATAACTATGATTGTATATGTATAGTGCTACGCTGATTTCATTGCAAGTAAACACAAAAAGAAAAGTCAGAAGATAAGAATACGTACGATCCATGAATTGGTTCCTAAAACGATCTGAAAATACATTAAAAAAAATTTTTTTCAATTGAATTAGGTGCAGAACAAACATGACTTCATAAACTATTCATTACAGTTTTCAAGTGTTCAAATCTGCACAACATACAGATCAAGCTGTCCACAAAAAAAGTGAGAGAGGCTAGCATACATTTTAACACTGCCAAAAGGTGCTTAAATAGTAGCACAAACTTTTTCAAGTAAAGTTTTAAATCATGCAAAAAAAAAAGTGATTGATGAAAGCACTCTAGCAGTGTTTAGACTATTCCATCCTCTCACTTTTGCAGGACAGCTGTTCTGTAGGTACTGTACATGTAGAGAAAAATATAAAGGCAATTTTCTATAAGATTTCTTTGAGGACAGCATGCAAAAAAAAAAAAAAAAAAAAAAATCCACATCTATATAACATACAATAATGTTTGTTGAAATTTGACAAGAAAATTAATGTTCAATAAATGGATCACAACTAAAGGTATACCTATAGGCAAAACTTTTTTTTTTTTTTAGTTTTGGATAGATTGGAGAGGGATTTGAACACCTGTCAGTTTGTATTGCTGTCTGTGTCCCCGTTAGGGAGATTCACCCTCTCCATTTGTCCTGTTTACCATTATCATTGAAAGCAAAAGAAACACCTTTCTTAAGGGCAACCTATAATTTGGGAAATCTTCCAATGGGGACACTAGTTCTGATGACCTGGGGGTCCCCAAGAAATTTTCCTTAATTTGCAGGGATTTCCTCTTACTTCCTATTAGGTTATGGGACAGGAAGTGAAGCTAAATCTACCCAATGGGACAAAGATGGCAAAAATAAACCTTACAAGGGTTACTCCCTCCCTCACTTTATAAAAAAAAAAAAAAAAAAAAAAAAACACGTTTTGCCTATAGTCCTACTTGAAATAACCAATGCCTCCACAGTCCCTGCTCATGTACCCTTTTCATCTTAGGCTCACATAGAAAACATAGGGTTGGATGTTAAATACATGCTATCACCAATGCTGACAGCAAAGAAAGTATTGAATATGTTCACATACCTTTTGGATCATCTGGAATAACAATTGGGGGAGCAATGTCTGGGAGCTCTTCTTCTCCTTGCTGCAGACCTTTTGCTCGTAGATGGTTAACGTCCAGGATATCTGGCATATCCACTGTGACATCTAAAATAAAAGAAATGCTGTAGAACATGTCTACTCACTAAATTAGTGCAAAAGTCACACTGTTTACACAACTGAAAGCATCACCTACCAAGTTTCTTGGGCACCCAGTCAAGGCCAAATGTAAACTTCTTAATTTGAATTACCAAGTATTCAGGGAATGAAGCAAAACGAGACGTCCTAGAGAAATAAAAATACAATATTAAAACCTAATCATGAACAGTATCTGAAGTCGCAGTTAACAAAATAATGCAACAGTAACAGCATACGCATAGGTGCCAAACAGAAAACTCCATCTCAGAGTACGTGGACAAAATCGCTATTCAATGGTTGCCATGGATTGTGAAAAAAAAATACATGATTAAACTCAATACCACCAACAATTATACGGTCACAATTTTATTCTGCTAGGTCTGAAGCTGCATATTTTTATGCAATTTTTAAAAATTTTATTTAAACAGCTAAAAATGTCTTCTTAAAAATACCAGGCCTGCATACCAGATATATAGGCTGGCATCATCATAGCAGGAAAGCTTCCCAGTGGATAAATAAAATCAAAGTAATCTCAATTTATTTACCCCTTTACCTTTCTTATAACTTAATTTAAATAGTTAAGTAACAGGATACTTACTATTTGCTGGTACCCAAACAATCCCTGTGTCTGGCCTTAACACAGACGTTACCCACTGACAGCAGCCTACTTCCACATTTGTGGTCAAGCACTCGATGGTAAAATAATGAAGGATTACATGAAATACTGTGGTCTGTGCGTGAGAGTGGTAAGGTGATAAAACTGTGAGTGCCTTTGGGGGCAATAACTCTGTGTGCTATGCAAAACAATGTGTTTAATGTGAAGAAAAGAATACATTAAACACAAAAACTTGCAAAAATGTTACACATGTAGACAGATACAGAGGCTGCAAAAATGCACACTGCACACCTTGGATATTGGTTTCTACCACTGAAAGTAAAGTGCAGATATCGGAGATTGCAGCAGTTTGGGTGCAATGAAAAGAGTACTACTAGATTGTAAGCTCCACGAGCAGGGCCCTCATATTCCTTCTGTACTGAAATGTATTGTAATTGTACTGTCTCCCTTATATTGTAAAGAGCTGTGCAAACTGTTGGCGCTATATAAATCCTGTATACTAATAATAATACTAGAACTCTATATTACCACATTCAAAGCACTCTGAGAACTACAGGTTTTCCTGACCTGCAGATTTTAATGCAGGTATTTGAACTAAGCTTTAAAGTAGCACTCCAGACAAATAAAAAATTAACTGCCTAATAAAAGACAAAAATAAAACCACCAGGTTCTGCTGCAATATTCAACTTTAAACCAAAGATCTCCCTGCAGTATTTATTTCTGCAGATAAATGGCCCTGGTTTATTGTTCAGCATCATTCAACCCATTTCCCCTGAGCCCAGGTCATTCCAGACCCAAACCAGCCTGTCGCTGGATAGAGAAACAAGAAGCAACACAGTGATCAACTCATCTGTCACTTTGCTTTCTCTTCCTATCAGCGTGCTGCTTGTTAGCATATTGACTGATTGCCTCTTTTTACTGCTTCTTCCTCTCGTGGTCCATGTAGCACAAAGACTGGAAATAATTTTGTTTTCTCTGAAAATGCATTTGGTATCAAAGAACATTCTACCTCTAACTTCACTGTACACCCAAGAGTATGGGCCATCGAAAAAAGTTATAGAAGCCTAAAGTACACCAAATCAAAGATCTCAGTAAGTCTTTTGATTAGTCAGCCTTCAATCGGAGCACACAGAATGCTGGAATGCCAGGCACGTGAGAGATACGGATATGAAGTGGTGGCAGCCAGATAAGACCTCTGTCTTATATAAATAAGACAGGAACAAGCAATTCATCCCCCAAGTAAAAGTCCTGCCACTGACCTTTGTAACAAATGTTCACTTGATAATCATCCATAAAAATCATGTTTAATCCTTACAATTAAATATTCTTGGAATATATACATAATGAAAAATGTTGCAAAACGAGGACAAAATATATTCAATTAAATATATTCCCTTAAAAAGGAAGGTATAGTGTATTTTTAGTGAGTGAACTTTTTTTATGGTGAGTTTTTCTTGCAGTGTTCACCCTAAATGACTTTTTATAGCTTTGGTATTGTGTTAAATATAAATATGTTTAGTTTTGCCAACAGAGGGCGCTCACAATTGCTCGGTGCAATTCTGAACAATTTTTGAGATGCAATATTCGTCACAAAAGGGAGTGATTGTTTTGACCAACTCACAGAACAGAAAGCAGTTTCTGTGTATTTTTTAGCAAATATGGCTACCTGCATTTTTAACAGGATTATTAAAATTAAGCTGATCTCCATTTACATGTACATCTAAAAGCTGTTAACTGAACATTTGGTTGAATATTGTTCCTTCCATATCCTCTGTGATCTTACCAACAGACAGAAATGTGGGAGAGCAATCTGAAATAGGACCTACCCCAAAAATAAGACCTAGTACTATTTTTGGGAACTGCTAAGTATAAGAACCTACCCCGAAAATAAGACCTAGTTGTGATCAGGGCTTTTTTTTCAGCCAGAACGCCGAAACGTGACTTAAACGCCAGCACTGGCCCTGTGCACACCAATATCTATTGTCTCTTATAAACACAAAGGCATGGCTTTCGTGTTTGCAAGTGACAGTCCCTCTTGTAAGTGACAGCACCATCCGCTCCCACAGAACCTCACTAACTACCTCTGTACTCGGTGTGGGACAGGGAAGAAACTGATATCTGCGGGTGCAGTATGCAGTGTGTTTAGGGGTAGGGTTAGGCATCTCATCCTGCAGCATGGAAGCCGATGCCCCAGGGTGATCACCGGCCAGTGGGGAAGAGGCGGAGCGGTAAGTGCGCTTGGTGCACGTTGGGAAGATAGGGACGCAAAACGGGAGTTAATATAGAGAGGGGCCGGCTGCTGACAGCTGTGTTTTGAAAAGTTAGCTAACCATATGAGGGCAGTGGAGGGGGAGGGGGGGGGTGTGCAAAGGTGAGCTGCAGTCAGGTGTTGCAAAAGTAAACTGATAAATGATTTGCAGACAGGGTGCATAGGTGAGCTGTGGCTGGGAGGGGAGGGAGGGTACAGAGGTGAGCTTGAGTTGCAACCCACCTCTGCACCCCCTGGCTACAGCTCACCTCTTCATCCCCTGTCCGCAACTCACCCCTGTACCCTGTCTGTGACTCATCTCTGCACCCTATCTGAAACACCTGTCAAGTCACCCCTGCAACACCTGACTGCAGCTCACAACTGTCATGAGCCGGCCCTCTCCACAGTAACCCTCATCCACAACTGCCTGCAGCTCACCTCTGCACCCCCTCTCCACACCTGGACATTAAAAAAATAAGACCTACCCAGAAAATAAGAGCTTGTGTTTTTTTGAGCCAAAAAAAATATAAACAGTGTCTTATTTTTGGGGAAACACAGTATCTATGGACATATAAAGATTATTTATTGATGCAAAGATATCAAAGTTTTGTGCAGCTGTTGTGAGCAAAAAAGCTGCATATTTCACAAAAAGAGACATTGCTTTACATACTTATGATGTGTGGATTGATGAAAAGTGCACAAGTTTAAATAACTAAGTTTTTTTTTGCTTTCACTTTTTTTTCTCAAATTCTCATAATAATTTTTTGCAAAATGTCCAGTTCACAAACATAAATATTGTTTAGGTGTGATATTGTAATTTTTCTGTATGAAATGGGCATAAAATTGGTATTTCATCACAATAAAGCTGACTTCCAGGAATTTATCTACTTTGAAAATCTGCTGGCTTACTATAGGTTAAGTACAATGAGGCAGATCCAAAGAACATAGGTATACCACTCAGGCAAAACAATCCCGATCAATCCATGACAGGTGCAGGCTCTGGCTTGCCACCCACACGATACAGCAGGAAGAAGGGTCAGCCGCACAGCGGAGGATTGATGAATATAGTGTATGTTTATTGATCCATAGGACACACAAAACACCAGGACATGAATACAGGACCTGATAACCCGTTTAACACGATCTTGTGCTTAATCATAACCCAATGAGGTGCATGCCACCTCATGGAGTTATCTCTGTTAATTGGAAGTGGCAAGTTTTACAGGGCTCAGGAAATATAGCCATCACTACACTCCTGATACCCTAAAAGGAGAGATGCTGCTTTCTAATACACAGCATTTCTACCTGCCCTTTCCTTCCACTGTCCATTCACAAAAGGCTATTTTTTAAATTGGCTCACGTAATATAAAGAGCTCTGTGCCTGGGCAGGAGGAAGAGAGGGGCAGGCAAAGCTGTAGCAGCAGCTGTGTGTGAAGGTTCCAGCCTCAGAGCGCTGGAAGTATAGCAATAGCAATACTCCCAGTACTCAGCAAAAATCTAAACTGTAAATTAAACTGATTCATCTATAAGGTGGACTTACTCTTTAGTAATTCATATCTGTCTATTTATTTATTGAAATAATCCATATTTATAATCCATTATATAAAGTACAATATCAACAAAAAGCAAGAGAAAATCAGTAAATCGAGTCTCTTGTACTAAATGATTAGCTTTCACATTTTTACAACACTGCATTAGGAAAATCATATCAAAGTTTATCTAAACTTGTTTTTTTTTCATTTTTGGATAAAGCAGAGAATATTTAAAAAAGGTTAAAATGTTAACCTTACAGCAAAGACTTCACTTCCTGTTTCATAAACACAACAAAAAGTGAAAAGAAAAAAAAAAAAAAAAACTCTAAATGTGAGGGAAATCCCTTCTCAGACCGTTGTCACAAGAACAAGTGCTCCCACTGGAATGTGTTCCTTGTTTATTTGAAAACTCAAATTTTGGATTTTCCCTCACTTTCACTTCCAGAAAACTGTAAACAAATAGTAAGATTGCATTTCTATGTGGGGAAACAGACTGCAATAAAAAACCTCACAGGGGTTTTTTAATCTTTATTTGTTCCAAAACATAAAAAACGGTTTGATGCACTTTAAACGATAAAGTAATGTATTTCTGGCATATGTGGTTGTGTTGTAAAGACTCACTTAATGCCAGCAGACTTGGCTTGGAGAGCGCTGCTCCAGAAGTCATCCACATTCTCAGGCTCAGTGAAGGCTTGAACACAGGCACTGAAGGGAATCTTGGCACGCACAAGTTCAGGCAGCGGCCTTTTTGAACTTTCTGCTTCTCTTCTTTTTAAATCATAGGCAATCACTTCATCTGAAGAAAAATGGATTGCCATTCATGTGAATTTTGAATGATCAAAAATATAAGGAAGGTACAAGTATGTCCCTATTTTCTTCACAAACTATAAACATTCAGATTTCATGCTGAGACAAAGTATTCTGGAGATCCTTCATTTTTCTGAACTAACTTTATCATATGCTCTTCTTCTAAAGAACATCAACTGCCTATGGTCTTCTAAAGAACATCAACTGCCTATGGTCTTCTAAAGAACATCAACTGCCTATGGTCTTCTAAAGAACATCAACTGCCTATGGTCTTCTAAAGAACATCAACTGCCTATGGTCTTCTAAAGAATATCAACTGCCTATGGTCTTCTAAAGAATATCAACTGCCTATGTCTTCTAAAGAACATCAACTGCCTATGGTCTTTAAAGAACATCAACTGCCTATGGTCTTCTAAAGAACATCAACTGCTATGGTCTTCTTACCTTTATTTGTTGCAGCCTCCATTGCCACAGGTAACTGCATTATATAATCCACTCTCTCTGTGTAGCGCACTTTCCGTGACTGACAACATTGTGTCCGCTCTTCCACCAAAAACCTAAAGACATCACTGGGATTTTCTGAGCTTGTGCTATTTCTCTATAAAGAAAATAAGTAAATCATCTAAATACAGCACATACAAACTTGAAGTTAATGGACAACTGGTAGCGAAAACAAACTGAGAAACATTAAATTCATCTACAGGTAAGAAAAGAAACATCTATAAGATTTTTAAGCACTTCCAAGCACTCTTGTAAGCATAGATTGCAATTCACATTATGAAAGAAGGAAGCTTTCACCAGCATTTATCATACATTTTTTTACACTCCCCTTTACTTGATAGTACTTTTATATATTATTTTTAGAAAAGGAATGCATTACAAATTCAAGAAAAACATTGTTAAATACCTCTACAAGATTAATAAGGTGCAGGAAAAATTCTTGTGCATCTTGTTGTCTATTTGATGAGAATTCTGCATGGCCTTTGCTCATTATTGCTTTGAACATACGAGTTGTAATCCCCTTTGGCTGAGGCTTAAAACATAAAAACAGGACAGAAAAAAGGGGGGAAAAGTTAATAAATTAGACCATACCAGAAAATAAAATATTAAAGCTAAAATGTGAGGAAATCTAAAAAAAATGACCCTTGTGCTGCAGCTTCTCTGCCCCCCACACCCCCCTCCCAACTCAACTTTCCCCTGCTGCAAGGGTCAAATGCATGTTTTTAAACTAGGGTGCCATTAAAAAGCAGTTTTACTTACTTTATCCCTTGGCTCCCCTGGAAACTGCACTTTCCTCTTCCCTCCAATGCTCTGGGTTGTGGGCAAGCCCTGACTGTCCTCACTTACAATGTAAGACTGCTGACCCTGTATTGTACATAATGACAACCAACAAAGTGCCAGAGAGAAGCAACTGCAAGGAACTGGTCGTATGGAAAGGAGGACACCTGAGAAAGCGAGGGATAAGTAACTTGTTCTAGGCAAAAGCTTCCATTGAACCTCTGCAGTGCAGAGGTAACCCCACTCTAGGAGTAGTTTTTCACATTTCCAAAGTTCAGCTTTAAACACATAAGGGTTAATTTACTAAAGCTGCAGCTCTGCATAGAAACCAATCAGCTTCACGTTTTTTTGTTAAAGCTTAATTGAACAAGCTGAAGTTAGAAGCTGATTGGCTACCATGAACAGCTGCACCAGATTTTGCACACCCCAGTTTTAGTAAATCAGCCCCATACAGTCGTTGAAAAGTAACTCCACTTTTGTAGAGAAAAAAAACATTGCCCTCTGAGTGATCAATGTAAATTGCAAGGATTGTTTCTCCCACTGTGTTTTTGGATGCTGGTTCTGAATGAGTGACTAATTAATTTTAATCACAATGACATTTATGTTGCAGAGGATGCTTAAAACCTGACTTGTATCCTAGCACAGACTTCTTCACACAAGTAGGATATGAGCTTTCTGGAGTGGTTCCGTACACCAACTGTGTGTAGAAGCCATACTGTATTGACGTTTTAGAAAATCACAGTGGCTGCAGTCTGAAAATTCAAGGTAGTTGTTTTTTAACATTAAATTATAATTCAGATTGTGTACCAATTGTATATGATATATATATATATATATATATATATATATATATATATATATATATATATATATATACACACACACACACATATACAGTGGGGATCGAACGTTTGGGCACCCCAGCTAAAAATTTGTATTAATGTGCATAAAGAAGCCAAGGAAAGATGGAAAAATCTCCAAAAGGCATCAAATTACAGATTAGACATTCTTATAATATGTCAACAAAAGTTAGATTTTATTTCCATCATTTACACTTTCAAAATAACAGAAAACAAAAAAAATGGCGTCTGCAAAAGTTTGGGCACCCTGCAAAGTTAATATCTTGTACTGCCCCCTTTGGCAAGTATCACAGCTTGTAAACTCTTTTTGCAGCCAGCCAAGAGTCTTTCAATTCTTGTTTGAGGTATCTTTGCCCATTCTTCCTTACAAAAGTCTTCCAGTTCTTTGAGATTTCTGGGCTGTCTGTCACGCACTGCTCTTTTAAGGTCTATCCATAGATTTTCAATTATGTTGAGGTCAGGAGATTGTGAAGGCCATGGCAAAACCTTCAGTTTACGCCTCTTGATGTAATCCCCCGTGGATTTCGAGGTGTGTTTAGGATCATTATCCATTTGTAGAAGCCATCCTCTCTTTAACTTCAGCTTTTTCACACATGGCATCAAGTTACCATCCAAAATTTTCTGAAATTTTATTGAATCCATTTTTCCTTCTACTCGTGAGATGTTCCCTGTGCCACTGGCTGCAACACAACCCCAAAGCATGATTGATCCAACCCCATGCTTAACAGTTGGACAGAGGTTCTTTTCATTAAATTCTGTGCCCCTTCTCCAAACGTACCTTTGCTCATTCCGGCCAAAAAGTTCAATTTTAACCTCATCAGTCCACAGAACTTGTTTCCAAAATGCATCAGGCTTGTCTATATGTTCATTTGCAACGTTCAAACATTGATTTTTTGTGGTGAGGACGTAGAAGAGGTTTTCTTCTGATGACTCTTCCATGAAGACCATATTTGTACAACTATCTCTTTATAGTGGAATAGTGTACCACAACTCCAGTGTCTGCCAGATCTCTTTCTGGAGGGATCGTGCAGTCAAACGTGGGTTTTGAATTATTTTTCTCACAATCCTGTGAGCTGTTCTGTCTGATATTTTTCTTGGTCTTCCAGATCTTGCTTGATTTAACTTCCACTGTTCCTGATGACTGCCATTTCTTAAATTACATTCCGAACAGGTGATATTGACATCTGAAAACGCTTTGCTATCTTCTTATAGCCTTCTCCAGCTTTGTGAGCATCAACTATTTTCAGTTTCAGTTTTCTAGACAACTGCTTAGAAGAACCCATGGTGCTGATTGTTGGGGCAAGGTCAGATGAGTCTGGGCATTTAAAACCTTTGAGATTGACATCACCTGGTCTTCCCAGACGATGATTGAGAACAATCCATGACACTGGCAGGTCTCAGCTTTGCAAAGGGGGCAGTGCATAAATTCTGCAGGGTGCTCAAACTTTTGCAAACGCCATTTTTTTGTTTTCTGTTATTTTGAAAGTGTAAATGAGTGAAATAAAATCTAACTTTTGTTGACATATTATAAGAATGTCTAATCTGTAATTTGATGCCTTTTGGAGATTTTTCCATCTTTCCTTGGCTTCTTTATGCACATTAATACAAATTTTTAGCTGGGGTGCCCAAACTTTTGATCCCCACTGTATATATATATAGATAGATAGATAGATAGATAGATAGATAGATAGATAGATAGATAGATAGATAGATAGATACATACATACATACATACATGCACACACTTATATAAATATTTGGACGCAGGCACTATTGTCATACTTTTGGCTCTGTAAACCACCAGAATAAATTAAAACTAAACAATCCAAATTAATTTGAAGTGCAAACTTTCAGCTTTAATTCAAGGGGTTGAACATAAATATCAAGTACAAATTTTAGGAACTGCATTTTATACACAGTCCCTCCATTTTCAGGGGCTCAAATGTAATTGGACAAATGAATATAATCATAAAGAAAATATTCATTTTTAATAATTTTGTTGAGAATCCTTTATTGGAAATGACTGCCTGAAGTCTGGAACCTAGGGACATTACCAAGCACTAGCTTTCCTCCTTTCTGATGCTTTGCCAGGCTCTAACTGCAGCTGTCTTCAGTTGTTCTTTGTTTGTGGGTCTTTCTGCCTTTAGTTTTGCCTTCAGCAAGTGAAATGCATCCTCAAAAGGGGTTGAGATCAGGTGATTGACTCAGCCATTGCAGAATATTCCACCTCTTTTCCTTCAAAAGCTTCTGGGTTGCTTTTTCAGTGTGTTTTGGATCACTGTCCATCTGTACTGTGGAGTGCCGTCCAATAAACTTTGCTGAATTTGGCTGAATCTGGGCTGACAGTATATTTCTAAACACTGCAGAATTCATCCAGCTGCTTCGGTCTTCTGTCACATCATCAATAAACACCAATTACCCAGTGCCACTGAAAGCCATGCATGCCCATGCCATCATACTGCCTCCACCATGTTTTACAGATGACGTTGTGTTGTTTGGATCATGAGCTGTTCCAAGCCTTCTCCACACATTTTTCTTTCCATCATTCTGGTACAGAATCATCCTAGTTTCATCCGTCCAAAGAATGCTTTTCCAGAACTGGTCTGGCTTTTTTAGATGTTTTTTGGCAAAGTCTAACCTGGCTTTTCTATTCTTCAAGCTTATGAATGGTTTGCACCTTGTGGTGAACCCTCTGTATTTGCTCTTGTGAAGTCTTCTCTTGATTGTAGACTTTGACAATGATACACCCACCTCCTGGAGAATGTCCTTCATTTGCCTGGATGTTGTGAATGGGTTTTTCTTTGCCATAGAGGGGATCCTGCAATCATCCACCACTGTAGTCTTCTGTGGACGTCCATGCCTTTTTATGTTGCTGAGCTCACCAGTGCGCTCTTCTTTCCTCAGAATGTACCAAACTGTTGATTTGGCCACTCCTAATGTTGCTGCTCTCTGATGGATTTGTTTAGTTATTGAGGCCTTACAATGGTCTGTTTCACTTGCATGGACAGCTCCTTTAAATACATGATGTAGGTTCATAGCAATAGATTCCAAATGCAAATACCACACTTAGAATCAACTCCAGACCTTTTCCTGCTTAATTGATGAAAATAAAGAAGGAGTAGCCCACACCTGGCCATGAAACCGCTTTTGATTGAATTGTCCAATTACTTTTGGTCCCTTGAAAAAAGGGGGATGGCTATTCTTAAGAGCTGCAATTCCTAAACCCTTCATCCAATTTGGATGTACATACCCTCAAATTAAACCCGAGACTGTGCACTTTCAGGCCATATCCATTCTATAACTATAGCTTGAATATGTTTTGGTAAATACCTGAAAAAAAATAAAATTGTGCCTGTGTCCAAATATACAGTCAGATCCATAAATATTGGGACATCGACACAATTCTAACATTTTTGGCTCTATACACCACCACAATGGATTTGAAATGAAACGAACAAGATGTTCTTTAACTGCAGACTGTCAGCTTTAATTTGAGGGTATTTACATCCAAATCAGGTGAACGGTGTAGGAATTACAACAGTTTGCATATGTGCCTCCCACCTGTTAAGGGACCAAAAGTAATGGGCCAATTGGCTTCTCAGTTGTTCCATGGCCAGGTGTGTGTTATTCCCTCATTATCCCAATTACAATGAGCAGATAAAAGGTCCAGAGTTCATTTCAAGTGTGCTATTTGCATTTGGAATCTGTTACTGTCAACTCTCAAGATGAGATCCAAAGAGTCAGTGAAGCAAGCCATCATTAGGCTGAAAAAAACAAAACAAACCCATCAGAGAGATAGAAAAAACATTAGGCGTGGCCAAAACAACTGTTTGGAACATTCTTAAAAAGAAGGAACGCACCGGTAAGCTCAGCAACACCAAAAGACCTGGAAGAC